AAAAAACTGCCTACTGCAATCGTCTTAAGTAGACAAATCAAAACAACAAATCTGTTTCGGCGGCATTTTTGAAGCTGATGGGCATTAAAGAAGCAGTCGTACCGCAATTGTCCAATTCGATGAAGCCTTGCGATAGCTTGAACTTCCCGCCCATGACTCAGGACAGGATCTACAAATAATAGGTGATTTGCTTCGATAAGGTTTAGGCCATTGGCTCCCAACTGAAGCGGCAACAAAAGAACCCAAACACGAGACTCCGCAGACCGAAATTGGGCCAAGCCACTATCCCGTGGCTTCAAGAGACTTGTACAAATGATTCCATTAAGTTCCAGAGCTCGACCGATAGTCAGCAGTACAGAGGTCCACTAAAGGTCGTCACAATGAGGGGAAAGGATAAGAAACCTACCGAGCTAAATACAACAGCTTTCGCACCAGCATCTTCTAACTTAATGCGTTTCAAGCATCGAATAACCTCCTGGATCTTGGAACTATGGTCGCCTTTTATCGGAATCTCGTCTTTTGTCTCCTCCTGCTCCTGCTCCTCCTTTTGCTTCGATTGAAGCTTTCTCCCACCATCAAAATGCAGAAGGGTCAGAGGTCGACGTTTCGTGGCGTTGGAAGCGGCTGTTTCAAAAGGTTTTCGACAAAGTGGACAACGACGTTGACTCGACACACTGTGCGCCTGAATTCGCTGGTGACAGGGTAGACAGAGGCTATGCCAACATCCTGGCAGCAACACAAATGTTGGACGTGAAGGACTTTGTGCCTGAAGACATGTTGGGCACTCCAAAGTAGTCGAAGCCGTGTGGTGTTGTTGGAGGGCATTACGCAGAAATGCCAAATGACTTAGACGGCCTTGAAGAGTCGTCCAATTGGCTAGAGCATCCACGGAATGCTGATATAATTGCGATTCCACGTCTTCTGGTTTGATGAAAGCCATATCAGTTGGACTGGTGGCTTGAAGTCGCACTACAAATTGCTCTGTCTCGTCGTGTACATTCCACCACTCCTTGGTGAGCATCTGAACTCTACCGAAGCAAAGAAGTTCACGGAAGAGAAGTTGAATCAGTGTGTCAAGTTTTCCAGCCATCGATTTTACCCAGTTGCGTGCATCCTGAAGACGTGACACCTGCGTTGCAACAGTTTGAAGAGCTACAGTAAGAGGATTCACCAATCCGATGGCGGTTAAGTCTCCACTAAGTAGAGCAGCATCATCCTCCACTTCGGATTCTTCAAGAAGGCCCTCAAGAACAACTCGTTTTTGAGCTCTTGCTGACGCAGTG